CCCCAAAACCCCAAAACCCCAAAACCCCTGGTTCGGAGGAAATTATTGATTTCTAAGGCTCTGGAGTTGAAGAAATACCCATTCTTGCTAACTTTCTCCTGATTCTGAGATATCTTGGCTCTACAAAATATGGCTTACATGTCTCTAGAATGCTGTTTATCACTTTCTGTCTTTGATAATTTTTCTTCATGCTTATCTCAAGATTTTCTTTCTCCTTCAAGAAACTATGGAAAGATTAGAGTGAGCTGATACCTGCTCCTGAGTAATCTGATATCTTCAAGATCTTTTGCTTCTCTTTTGATAAGTTTGAACTGATTCTTCAGCTTGGAGTTTTGTGACTTAATGAGTCTAAAATGCGTGTAAATTTGAGGGATCTTACTTATCTAATATTTTCCTATCTTCAACACTCTCCTTGTCAACCGCCTCTTCTTCACTGCTATCTTTGAAGGAACTAGAAAGACTGTTGTCTGAGTCTATAGTTTAGGTGGAAGCTCTTACCGCTACTTTCAAGGATCATCTCTGATGGATGGTACAGAGTTGGCCTCATGTTCGCTCTGTCTCCTTTCTTCACTGTTGAGCTTAGAGTGGTTGTTTTCCTTTTTAGAGAAATTGATTTATCTTCATGTTAGAGGAAATTTTACGATTCTTTGATCCAAAAGTGTTATTTATGCTAGATATTAGTACCCTTGTGGGACAATTTGGTATTTTTCACTAGAAATTAGAAATCCCTTACTCAGTAATTCAAGTTTCCTAGAGGGCTCAACAGCATAAGACTGCTTGCTTTCTGACCTTCGCTGTAGATCTTAGAATATAGAAAGATACCAGGTTAACCGAAGATGACTTTTTCAGAAAATCCCTAAAGGTTATAACCAAAATACCCATTCTTTGACAACATATAGCAGTAATGATGGATTTGGTTTTTATTTAAGTTCCTCATGAATTCCACAACTGAGATGGTCTCTACAGAGATTATCAAACACCTTCTCTTTACTTTTAGATTTACTATTAGTGGCGATATCTCTGGCATACTTATTCTTCTTCCTTTTACTGTCTCTTTTACTACAAAATCTCTGACTAAACTTACATTTCTCTAGCTTTCTTCTTAAGGCTTTCCATCATTTTTGATTTGCATTCAAATATGACCTCGTCTGAGCTGTTTCTAAACCCATAGTTCTAAACTCTTACATGCAAAGGTCTCTGGTCAGGGAGAAATCAGAATCCTGGATGGCTACAGATCACGTAAGAGTCGTACAATAAGTCATATCTAGTGAGTGCATCAGGTTTTCTGAGAACAAGCTCGAATATTTGCTAAAGAAATAAGCTCAAGGGCTTACAGCCCTGTTGCATATTTATCGTTGAAATTTGGCCTTGTCTTGGAACCTCTGGTCTTTAGATATGAGAGAATGAACTTACAAGAGTATTACGAGACTTTCATGCAGTGAAATAGTCTACAGAATAAGTCAACAAGGAAGATTGGCTTTTGAATTTAAAGTTTTTGATAATTTTAAGCGAAATTTAGGTATTTATGAGATCATTTAGAGTCATTTTTACCTTGATAAGGGTTATAATTAGTCCTAAAGATAAGGCAAAAAGTACTCCTTTTGCTTCTTTGTTCGTGACTTATTTTGGAAATGGCATATCAACAGGGATCTTTGGAGGAGGCAGATTCTATATTAGTAATTAAGAGGTATCCAAAATTGCAAAATTAGCAGAACATATTACTGATTGATATCTATAATATCCAATCTTATAGTAGCTGGTAATAATTTCTAAGAATAAAATAAAAATCTTAATTTTTATTTCTCTGCTTAGATCTTTTCTCTTTTAGTCATTATTTACTTACATTACTTTTTGGGACAGTAAGATGAAACTCTGGTGCATTTGGGTGTACTATTTGATATTCTTCACTTTGCTCTTTTCTAAACAGGAACTGTAACCCCCCATAATGCATTGATTCAAGCTTATAGAATCATAGAAGAAGGATAAGTTACTCTAGATTAGCAATATGAGCCCTTTGAGACAAAGATTTTACCTTGAAAAATCAGCAGATCCTTTCGTCATTGCTCTGTGGAACTGGTCCATTTGGTTCTATAAGAGATAGAGTTCTTGTGGAAGCCTTAATTTACCAGTTTTCCTAAACTGTTTAGCTAAAGCTTACTTGGTCTTCCCTTCGACATTTGTCTGTTATGAGAAAATTTACGATGCTCTAGAGGTTTTAGGGTAGATTACTTGGGATTCGAGATAATGATTGGGCCTTGTGGCCAAGGAAATCAGTTACTATTGGCCCTTCAATACTATTGCCTGTTGTTTTGAAAGGAGTTCTAGATATTTTACATTAGATTAGATGAAATATATTTATCAAAGCCTTAAAAGGTGATTTTATAGAACTAAACAATTGCCTCTTCTCTTGAATGTAAAAAATACATTAAAGGCACATAGAATGATTAAAGTATCGAACATGAGTAAAGTGATACCTATAATACTGCTTTTTGCTATCTTTGCTCATTTTACTGACTTTGGACACCTGTCTGTCATACCTCATTAAAGTCTTCATTATTTTGCGTATTTAAAATTAATATATAAAACTGTCAATATTGGTTGCTCAGCAAGGGGTTTTGGGGTTTTGGGGTTTTGGGGTTTTGGGG